CTCAAGATAACACAAATGTCAGTTCCTTATTAGTGTGCTATACTTGGACTGAAAGTCACAGTTAATTTGAACTCATCAATCCTTGTGATATTTAAAGTGGACATATTCTGCTCATTTCCAGGTTCACATTAGTATTGAGTGCCTTTACTGTGACATATCTCCATGATTTAATGTTCAAAAAGCTCTTTCTCCTACTGCCTGTGCTGCAGCACCTCTTTCCACCTCTGTCTGAAACCAGAGCCCAGTCTGCTCTGATTGATTAGCTGGCCGGCTCTGTTGTGATTGGTCAACCATTTAGAGATGTCACGCCCTTTAAGGCCCTGACACACCTACCCGATTTTGGGAGTCAGAGGCCGTCAGAGGCAGTCGGGCATTCGCGGCGCCCTACTCAGGTTGGTGTGTCCCGCACCGTTGTTGCTTTACGGCACATTTTCACACCTCCCTTTGGCCGATTCAACATGTTGAATCGGCCAAAGAAATTCGGCCAAAGAAATCACTCTGATTGGCTGTTGCCTCTTTTGAATGACGAATACACACTACCGCTGCCTGCTGGTAAGGACAGTTATTGCCACTCGTCGACTGAAGTCTTTGCGGTGTGTTCGTAGGCGGGCGGCGTAGGCGGGCGGCGTAGCCGACGCAGGCGACTAAGCGGACGTAAAAGTCGGGACGCCTTCGGTACGAGTTCTTTGGTCTCAGGTTGATGTGTAGCGGCCTTTAGCCTATCACATACAATGTGTTGGAGCGTTTCAGGCAGGTGAACTTTGGGATTTTAGCCTGTGCAGACCATTTACATGCACAAAAACCTTTAGAACACACTACAGGAAAGGGAAAACCCCAGAAAGTGAAATAGCGCCCCCTGTAATGTTAAGGTTTGAAAGTGGCAGTAACTCCTGGAATGAGTAATATTTTAGTTCCGTGCTGGAGCTAGCTTGGTTTGCAGTTGGTTCAACTTGAAATTTATAACACTGATTAGTGGAAACATTTTACATAAAATATATATTTATTTTGTATTCCCCTGCCTCCCCTGACCGCGCATCACTGGTTCTCTTTTTCAGTCCGCTACTGTAACATCTTTCTAATCTTGCTGCAAACTGTTGTTGCTTTGTGCCACATCTCTGACGTATGTGGTTGTGGCTTCTTGGAGCTAGCTGGGCAGATTCTCTGTGCCTCAGCACGGTCAACGGGCAAAACTGGTTCAATATCGGGCCCCAGTTTAAAAAAGGCCCTGGAACGGCCTTGTTGGAAATGGGGTTTATCATTAGCATAGCTCAATTAGCTGTCCACTCAATGGTCTTGTGACAGTTAATGTACATTCAACATAATCAAAAGACACATTTCTTTAATTTCTAACCTTTAAATTGACCTAATAATCACTTATATCAAACTCTGAAACTTTACTGCCTCTCTGCATGTGGTAGAACATGTGTCCTACACATTCCTCCGCTAACTTAGCGTGACTAATCACTGTAGAATTAGTCAGCTTTGTTTGCATTCTGTACCACAACGGCTGCACTCGTACAGTCAAGCCTTTTGAGCAGATGGTGTACTAGATCAACTGCTGATAGATTTTTGTTAGTGTCAAGAGCTCCACTGATATTTGTACAGCGACACTCTGTCAACATGTTTAAAAGCTCCTGTGGATAATAGGGGAATCATAACCGAGTATTTGGAGAGTTTCCAGTCCAGTAACCAGCCGGAGTATCACACATAATTAGCCTGTCGGGGATGAGCAGTGTTGCAGGAGAGCGTCAGATATTCTGCTGTAGCTGCTCCAACATGCTGCCTACAGCCTGTCTGCAGTGCTGACTATCATCCTCTTTCACTTTATACAGGCAGTAACAGGGTTGGGGGGGTTACTTTTAAAAATCCTTTACAATTACTTTATCTGAAAAATACGAAATCAGTAACCTAATCTGAGTATCAACATATGACCTGATCACTTTTCGTCACTTTGGATTACCTCAATATCAAATGCAAATGAGTACAAGAGAAAAAATAAATATTTTTAAGATGTTTTAGTACAGTTGTACAAAAGAACAATGTGACCTTAGAAAGGAACAAACCAAGATATTTAGGATCAGAAATGATTTTATTGATAGTAAAAGCTGTCTTTCATGAAGCATATTCAGGCAGCAGCCTATACACCAACACTGAAACACATGAGCACATAGTACAGTTTAAAAAAGCAGAAATAAAATCTGAGCCGGCAGAAAATGCTCAGTTTTAGCTTAATACACACAGTTAAGATCACACACACTATTTTATGAACATATAGGTTCACCTACTGAATTAAAAACAGAACAAAAGACCAAAAGAAAGTGAAAACCATAAAGCAGATTCAGGCAGTAGGCGTATAGATTCACACTTAAAGTATGAGCCTACAGAACAGTACAATTTACAGAGAAAAAACAACAAAAGATCCTTTTACAACAAACACAATATGCTCTTTTTAGCTTTTTTTGGTAACATTGTAATCCTGCTAGTAATCCACAATATTTAGAGAAATAATCTGATTATGTATTTTTTTCTAACTGTAGGAAATAGAGTAATACCTTTTATGAATCCTGGTTATCCCATTACATGTTATCCATTACTGCCAAAGCCTGCACAGTAGAGAGGGTTTATGTTAAGATCAGGCAAGATAAGATAAAATCTGATTATTCCTTGTAATAAAAATTATGAAAAAAGCGAGAAAAATAAAGTGTGCGATTGATCTGTACTAACTTAATGATTTGAAACCGTTGCCCATAAATACAGTATGAACGAAAAACAGTAGTGGTGAAGTCCTTTACAATCATCAATAGTTTTTATTTTCTTTGACATTTTTGTGATATAATGTACTTCACAAGTAAAGGCTTTCCTTTCAGCAGCCGCAGATAAAGGTATGGAGGTTGCACTGAGTAATAGCCCCTCTGATGAAACAGAATTATGAGCAGAGTTATTCTGTGGCTGGCCGGCACATCAGTGCTTGAAGAGCATTTTGGGGACTTCACACACATTCAGATCCGCAGTGACAAGACGATGGGGGAAATCCATTAACAACCTGGAAACTTGAAGGCAGCAGCCTCTCTCACTGCACTATAATGGAGCGCTGAAGCTTGTTAAAAACCTGAGTGAAGGCGTCCAGCCAGAATCAATCAGTCTCCTGTGTGCTCTTCACCTGATTAAATTAAAGCCTTTTCATATAGCAGCGACGTAATGGGACTAATGCAGCGCAGGCAGAGAGCGGGGAGGAAACATTAGAGGAGAGGCCAGGAGACAGGGAAGGAAGGAAGGAAGGAGAGAGGAGCCTCTTGATAAGGCTTCAAAAACATCAATGTCTTTACAATGCATGATATGCATTTTGGGCTTTTTAATCAGTCAACTAATCTGAGTATCAAAATATGAAAGACTTCTTTTGAATCTCAATATTAAATGAATACTAAAAAAATAAATGTGTTACTTAAGTGTATTTTGTAATACAACTGAACAATGTAACCTTAGAAAAGAAGAAACCAAGATATCAAACATGTGTCCTCTGCTCAGAGATTCTAATTAAAGAAAAACCTGCCTTTCATTAAAGAGGACATATTCTGCTAATTTTCAGGTATACTGTATGTTGTGGTATGTCAGGTATGTTGTGCCTTGACTGTTACATGTTCCATGCCCAGTGGCAAGCCGTGACTTTTAAACATATAGGCCCTCTGACCCCCACCCCTTCCCTTGTAGAGTTATTAGTCACAGCGTATACTTCAGCGCAGCGGAATATCAAAACAACGGCCCGGGGTGCAAAACGCATCAATGAAAGCAACCCTCTACCACACAAAACAACACCTGTAAATAACCCAATTTTTGTTCTTTGAAATTGAAAAGGATATTGCATTGTGTTTGTTACTTTCGTTGTAGTTCTATGTCTTAAGTGTAATTTGGCATGCTTTTATTTTGAAGGCAAGTTTACGCTGTTGACAGGAAGTTGTTGTTGCCATGAAAACAAGAAAAGCTTCACAGCGGGCGGAACTTGTCATGAAGTCTGCAATAATAAAACCCATCCATTTAGAAGGAAGATATGATTGGTCAATTGTACTGTCATTTGCAACCCTGTCTCCTAAAAATTACGTTCCCACAGAACTAAACTGCATTCTCAATTACGTTTATTTTCTACATATCTTCTAGAAACATATTTTCTCCCATGTTACGTTTGTTATGAACGTATCTTAAATACGTTTATTTTCTACATATCTTTGCCATTTATTGTCTTGCTTATAATAATGATAATAGTCATTTATAAATATCATTTTAGAGCACACATTTGAAATCTCAAATTAAATTGGTATATAGCNGGCTCGATATATGGTTAAATTAAAATCAGTAGGCGAGGCTGTAATTTCGCCAGCTGTTACTCTCATGAGCGAGGCAGAAAATAATAGTTTTATCATGCCAAAAAGCTGCTGTGTCGTTTATTGCACCTCAAAAATTAAAACAAATCCAGAGTTACGTGTTTCTGTACTTCCTCTAAGAACAAAGGACAGTAAAAGAAGAGCTCTGTGGCTTCAGGCTTGATCGCCGTTCAAATGACAGCGTTGGTTTCCCCAAAAGTGGGCGGGGCTGTAAAGTGACGTAGATTTTACTCTCATCTATTATTCAAAACCATTCTTTTTATTCTAACGTGAATTACATGCCAGTATTTTATCTTTTAATTTAGCGATTTGTTTTTGCATTTTTAACTAGGAATGTTTTCATGTTGAACCTGGAGTACGTCACTTCACTTTGTCTTCTTCGTCCCTTTTACGTTCCAGACAATGCATGGCACAGCGTAACAGACTGAACAGCGACCCCAGGTTCAGTCTGTTACGCTGTGCCATGCATTGTCTGGAACGTAAAAGGGACGAAGAAGACAAAGTGAAGTGACGTACTCCAGGTTCAACATNCCCCCCTGGCCCCCCTAGAACCGCCCCTGCTCTGCATCACAGTAAATAACTCAGCTGTTGTGCAGTTGTGTAGGTGTACGGGTTGAATGGCCTGCACCAGTGGTTTAAGTGTGTGCTAATATTCTCCCCTCTGAATGCCTCATTTCAGGGAGGCAAACAATCAGATTGACTACTGACTTAGTAGAGGAACAAAAACACATCCTTAAAACTGCCTTTGTGCACTTAAAAACTGCACCGGATCAATAAATCCATACAAATTCAAAGTGAAGGATGTGGAAGGAACGCTTACACAGCAATTATGCGAGTGAAAGGAAATTTGCTTTTATCTTCCCACACACAGCTCTGTCTGTCTTGCTGCAACACGCTAAATAATGTTCCCTTCCATCTGAGCCCCTTCCATACAAAAGTAGCCCACTTGCATTCAGTTGACACAGCTGAGCAACACTTTGTTCACACCAGATCAATGTCGCGTGTTCAGGATTCAGAAGGACTCAGGGAGGGAACAGAGAGAAGAGGACGTGCTTCTTTGAGGCTGCTCGGGCGGGAGCAGACCAAATCATGAGGCGGCTGATTAAAGTGACTAATCAACGGACTGTGCTCTCTGTGCACTGACCTTCAGAGCTTCATCTGAGGGATAATCCAACACATGAGTTCACACTCCCAGCACTAGGGTGCAGCCCTGATATGCAGCAGTCAGGCAAGCCATTTGAGTATTTATTCCATATCCTGGATATCACATGGCAGCTGCCTCCACTAGTTGGCTCTTTGATTTCACTTGTTAGATATATGGTCAAACTAGTTTGGCACTCTGCTTTACTAGTTAAATACAACATTACACTAGTCACTCTTTTTCAGCAACTAGTGGCACTTTTGTCCGATTAGTTAGCACATAAGCCTTACTAGTGACGCCAAGAGCGGCACTTGTAGCACCAAAGTCCCAACTTGTAAGCTTTTTGATGAACTAGTGGCCCTCTGACCATACTAGTGACGCTAAAAGTCTTACAAGTTAACTAGTGTGCTGCAAAAGCTCTGACATGTTAACTAGTTACAAAAAAGAAGCGGAACTAGTTAACTAGTGGCATACATTTTTCTGCACTAGTTAACTAGTAGCAACCAGAATCACTCACTAGTTAACTAGTAAAGGCAAAAGGTTCACTAGTTAACTAGTTGACGCCTCTTTGGACCTTACTAGTTAACTAGTGGGGCTCAAAATGTCTACACGTTAACTAGTGAACCCTTTGCCATTTAATAGTTAACTAGTGAGATACATTGAAATTCAACTAGTGAACTAGTGAGGCTTAAAATGTTCACTAGTAGTACTAGTGGGTCCCAAATGCGCACTAGTCACAATAGTTGCTCAACATGCTAATGAGGAGGGGAAAGAATGCATTGAGGTCTTCTATTGGCCCAAAATATAGAGCGCTACCCAGCCCAAATTGTTTATTTAAGAGCTTAAATACAGTCATATGACCATATTTACAAAAATATAAAACAAAAGTATTTTTCTAATTATGATCATATGACTGTATATCAAATTAGGTAAGAACATTGAATACTTTGTTAAAATTAGAAAGTTGCTTTAGGACTGCAGGCAGGAATGCAGATCCTCTTTAAAACATTTTATTAGCTGCAATTTGAAAGGTGCTTGGATTAGAATAGCACTGTGATAACAGAGGGACATTACTGATGGATAGAAAGAGAGGAAGTAACCCTCTTCGGATCACAGCTTTCCTCAGAGGCTGAGAAATCGCTGTGACTTCCATAAATATTAGGAGGCAAATATGGAGAGGTTGTTTATCTTCATGCAGATCTATCGTTACCCTGATTTTAAGTGTTTCAGCTTTATTAATTTCATGAGCACCGCTGATAAAATGTCCCACGATCATATCCGCTACTTTTGTGTCTCCAGTGCCGGTGTTCTCACACAAGCATATGCACACTCGCACCAACAAAAACACACACACAAAGCGGAGCAAAGCAGAAACAGAAACATGTATTTTTCTAGGCAAAACACACACTGACTGACTTCCCACGGACAATATTTTAACAGTAGGCACTAAATACCCGACTGATGCACCTCACATCTTCGAGACGTTGCTAAAAAACATTGGTAAGGCTCTTCCTCACAGAGCTGAACTGACCAATCAGAATCTGGGTCCCGCCTGCTTCATTTCCATATGGCTCACTAGTGAACGTGTTGGCCATATGAACGGCAACTAGTTAACTAGTGGAAACATATTGTAGCTTACACGTTAACTAGTTTAATAGCGACTCCTCAAAGGCTTCACTAGTTAACTAGTAAGATAAAGTGTGCGTAACTAGTTAGCTAGTAAGGTCAAAACAATTGTACTAGTGTATCTAGTGGACAATTTGGACCTCACTAGTTAACTAGTGCACATTTTGAGCCTCAATAGTCAGATTGTAAGACCAAAAGAGGCTTCAACTAGTTAACTAGTGAACATTTTACTTTCACTAGTTAACGTGTAAGCTGCAATATGTATCCACTAGTTAATTTTAAAAAAGACACGGTGTCGTGAA